AGTCTGCACGGCAGAGGCTTTCAGGGGCCCTCTGTGGCAGGTTCCGAGGTTGTTTCCTGTTTTCTTCCTCTGGCTTTCAGAGGCCCTCTGTAGCAGGTTCCTAGGTTGTTTCCTGTTTTCTTTTTCTTCTGATGTCCATCCTCTTTGCCTTTCAGGATGGGGATTGAGCATTTTTAGTTAGGGTCCTCTGTTTTGCTTAGTTTGTTTAGATATACAGATTTTAATGGGTTTATTCTATGTTGTATGTTTATATGAGTGAGTATATACCGTGTGTGTCTTTTTGCTTCTGGGACAACTCACTCAGGATGATCCTTTCTAGGTCCCGCCATTTACCTGCAAATTTCATGATTTCCTTATTTTTCATTGCTGAGTAATACTCCATTGTATAGATGTACCACAGTTTCTGCATCTATTCTTCAGTTGAGGGGCATCTGGGATGTTTCTAGCTTCTGGCTGTTACAAATAAAGCTGCTACAAAAATGGTTGAGCAAATGTCCTTTTTGTGTACTTGCGCCTCTTTTGGGTATATGCCTAGGAGTGGTATGGCTGGATCTTGAGGAAGTGCTATTCCTAGTTGTCTGAGAAAGCACCAGATTGATTTCCAGAGTTGTTGTACAAGTTTACATTCCCACCAGCAGTGGAGAAGCGTTCCCCTTTCTTCACAACCTCTCCATCATGTGTTGTCCCTTGAGTTTTTGATCTTGGCCATTCTGATGGGTGGGTGTAAGGTGAAATCTCAGGGTTGTTTTGATTTGCATTTCCCTAATGGCTAATGAGGTTGAGCATTTCTTTAAGTGCTTCTCTGCCATTTGATATTCACTTTCTATCTCCCCCTTCTTTCATAAGATTCCCTGCACTGTGCCCAAAGTTTGGTTATGAGCTTCAGCATCTTCTTTGATACCCTGCAAGGTAGAGTCTTTCAGAAGCCCTCTATGGTAGGTTCTTGTCCTGTTCCCTTTTACTCCCTCTTCCTATCGAATGGCAGAGAACATTTTAAGAAATGCTAACATCCTTAGCTATCAAGGAAATGCAAGTCAAAACCCTGAGATTTCACCTTACACCCATCAGAATGGCTAAGATTAAGAATTCAAGTGACAACACATGCTGGAGAGGATATGGAGAAAGGGGAACCCTCCTCCATTGCTGATGGGAATGTAAACTTGTACTACCACTCTGGAAATCAATCTGGCACTTTCTCAGACAATTAGGATCTTGCTTCCTCATGATCCAGCCATATCATTCCTAGGTATATATTGCAAAAGATGCTCAAGTATATAATAAAGACATTTGTTTAACTATGTTTGTAGAAGCTTTATTTGTAATAGCCAAAAGCTGGAAACAATCCAGATGCCCCTCACTTGAGGAATGGGTACAGAAAATGTGCTACATTTACACAATGGAATACTACTCAGCAATTAAAAACAAGGAAATCGTGAAATTTGCAGGCAAATGGTGGGATCTAGAAAAGATTATGCTGAGTGAGGTATCCCAGAAGCAGAAAGACACGCATGCTATATACTCACTTATAAGTGGATATTTGATATATAATATAGGATAAACCTACAAAAATTTGTATACCTAAAGAAGCTAATCAAGAAGGAGCACTCTTGGTAAGATGCTCAATCCTCATGCAGAAAGGCAAAGTGGATGGACATCGTTGAGCATTTCTTTAAGTGTTCCTCTGCAATTTGATATTCCTCTGGTGAGAATTGTCTGTTTAGCTCTCTATCCCATTTTATAAAAAGCATTATTTATTTATTTATTTATTTATTTATTTATTTATTTATTTATTTATTATGTATACAATGTTCTGTCTGAATGTAGACCTGCACACCAGAAATGGGCACCATATCTCATTATAGAACATTGTGAACCATCATGTGGTTGCTGGGAATTGAAACTCATGGCCTCTGGAAGAGCAGCCAATACTCATAACCTCTGAGCCATCTCTCCAGCCCCTATTTCACGTTTTTTATTTGAATTAATTGGTTTATTGTTGTTTAACTTCTTCAGTTCTTTATATATTCTGGATATCAGCCCTCTGTGTTGGTGAAGATCCTTTCCTAGTCTGCAGACTGTCATTTTGTTCTTATGACAGTGTCCTTTGCTTTATAGAAGCTTTTCAGTTTCATGTGGTTCCATTATTGATTGTTGACCTTAGAGCCTGTGCTGTTGGTGTTCTGTTCAGGAAGTTGTCTCCTGTGCCAATGGGGTCAAGACACTTCCCCACTTTTTCTTCTAACAGATTTAGTGTGTCTGGTTTTATGTTGAGGTCTTTGATGCACTTGGACTTTACTTTTGTGCAGGGTGATATATATGGGTTTATTTGTGTTTTCTACATATAGACATCCAGTTAGACCAGCACCATTTGTTGAAGATGCTGTCTTTTTTCCATTGTATGGTTTTGGCTTCTTTGTCAAAAATCAAGTATCCATAGTGTGTGGGTTTATTTCTGTGTCTTCTATGCGATTCCATTGATCAACCATTCTGTTTCTATGCCAGTACCATGCCGGTTTTATTACTATTTCTCTGTAGTACAGCTTGAGATCAGGGATGGAGATCCCTGTAGACGATGTATTGTTGAACAGAATTGTGTTGGCAATGCTGGGTTTTAATGTTTTTTTTTTTTTTTTTTTTTTTTTTTTTTTATGAAGTTGAGAACTGTTCTTTCAAGTTCTGTAAAGAATTCTATTGGTAATTTGATGGGAATTGCTTTGAATCTGTAGATTGCTTTTGGCAGGGTGGCCATTTTCACTATGTTAATCCTACCAATCCAGGAGCATGGGAAAACTTTCCATCTTCTGATATCTTCTTCAATTTCTTTCTTCAGAGACTTATAGCTTTTTTTCATACAGGTTTGTCACTTGCTTTGTTAGAGTCACAGCAAGGTACTTTATGTTATTTGTGGCTATTGTAAATGGTATAGTTTCCCTAATTTTTTTTTCTTAGCCCATTTGTCTTTTGTATACAAGAGGGCTTCAGATTCTGTAGAGTTAATTTTGTATCCAGCCACTTTACTGAAGATGTTTATCAGTTGAAGGATTTCTGTGGTATAATTTTATGCATCATCTTCCCCAGGGGGTGGTGCAGCATTGTCAGGCCACAGAGGAAGATGATGCAGTCAGCCCTGATGAGACCTAATAGGCTAGGGTCAAATAGAAGTGGAGGAGGGCCTCCCCTATCAGCAGTCTGGGGAAGGAGCTCAGAAGGAGAAGATGGAGGGTGGGTTGGACTAGGAAGACAGGAGTGAGGGAGCTACAGCCAGGATAGAAAGTGAATAAATTGTAATAAATAAATACATTTAAAAAGAGAAAGAAAAACATATTTTAGATTGTTATCTTTTCCTTATGTTATTATCTCTTTATGTTAATATTACATGTGCTATATTAATAAATTACAGATGTATAATCCATAAAAATTATTATATGCATATGGTTTGAGCATTTCCAACTTCAAAATCAGAATAAAGCTACTCTTCTTTTAATTTGGAGACCAAGGCTTGAATTAAGTTTTATCAGGATCTTTTATTTATTTAATATTTATTTATTTTGTTTTACCTATATGAAGGTTTTACTTTCATGTATGTCTGTGTACCCACTAGTGTGCCACATCAGAGAGGGCATTGGATCTCCCAGAACTACAGTTACAGGTAGTTTTGAGCCACCACGACATTGCTGGGAATCTACTCTGCAAGACTTAAAGGTACTCTTAAGGAGTGATCCATCTTTCTAGCCCATACCTTGAAGCTTAAAAAAAAGAACATCAAATATCATTGTGTATCTGTGTTGGTGAGAGAATCAGATGTTTGGCTATGGTATTGGGATGAATCCATTCCTCTACTGGAATAAGACCTTTAGGAAAAAAAAGAAGTATAAATATAAAATGTGTGACTTATGGCGTCATGTTCATGGGGATGTTATAACATGGTCATTTCCATTGGCTTCTGCATTATTTCCACACATGTGTACATACATTTCTATATGTGGAATGTGCAAATGAGCTTGAAAATATAATTGGGCACTCTGTTTCTCACAAGAATCTGAGTCAGTATAATCATTTTCTATTTCTCTACCACAAAGCTGATTTGTATGTACTGAAAAAATAAGTTCAATAATAAATTGATCATGGTAACTAGGCCAAATGACTTACATAAGCACTAAAGATAAGACTGTTGAGTAAAACTGTAAAAAACAATGTGTGGGTGCTAGTGATGTATAATACTTTGACCTTATTTTCCACTGCATGGGAAGGAAACTCTTTTAAGCAGAAATTCACAAGCAGCATCAGTATAGTGTTATCTTCAACAAGTTGTTTGTCATAATGTGTTGAAAATAGTAATCATCTTAATGTCACATCTTCTCTCTTGTTGGAGGCTCCTAGATCCACATCTTAAGATGGGGCTATGTAGCATGTAGTAACTATGGAAACTGGGAAAGTAAAATGGAACCATCACCAAGATAGGGGTAATGATGTGAGCAATACAGATCAGAATAGCAGGAAAAATGTATGTGATGAGAGAAATAGAAAAGACAGGGCTCCTTAGGCAGAGAGGAGGAAGGGAAATAGAGATGACGGTGGGATAAAGGTAAAGGTGAATAGAGGGATACAACTGATCAGATAGAGAAATTGGGGAGATATGTGAGTTCTTAGGTAAGGAAAAACAAGGTAAATACAGAATAAGGAGGAAGTTAGGTAAAATCAATGGAATTGGTTTTCTAAGGCATGAGACTCAGGCTCAATAAAGACATATATATTGTGAATTTTGTGTAGAATCGGAATGCATTTATTAGCTATTATATGCTATTTATACAGGAGATAACTGGAAGATATATAGAAATGTAGGCTATGATGTACAGTCTGGAACATCAAAAGTTAAAGAGACAGTTAATCAAGAAGTTGGAAAAATAGAATGTTGATATAGACATACTCTCTAGTGAGTTCCAAGTTTGATGTATAATCTTTTTTTTTTCAGATATAAGAAACATTCTTCCACTGTGTTCTTAAGGTGCATACACTTCTCACTAATGTCCTCATTAAAGAGTGTCCTTCATTTCCAAGCTGGGATTGGAGTCTTAGCCAATATGTTTCTCCTTTTTCTCTATACTTTCATAATCGTAGGTCACAGACCTAAGCCCATGGACCTGATCTACTGTCATCTGTCCTTTGTTCACCTAATGATGGTCCTCATTGGAGGGGACATGTGGCTTACAGACATATTTGAGTCACTGAACATTGAAAGTGACTTCAAATGTAAGACAAGTTTTTACATAAGCAGGGTGATGAGAGGCATCTCTATCTGCATCACCTGCCTCCTGAGTGTGTTCCAGGCTGTCACTATCAGTCCCAGAACCTCTTTTTTGGCAAAATTTAAACCTAAGCTAAAAAAATACATGACTAGTGCTTTCTTCTATATTTGGTCTTTCAATTTGTCCTTCAGTAGTAACCTGATCTTCTATGTTGGTGGTTTTACCAATGTGAGTGAGACAAACCAGATGAA